TCTTTCCTTAGTTTCTGTCCATAACTGTTGTTTAGCACTTGTCTGCATAGTCACTGAATATCCATAATCAGTTAATAACTGTTATCTGAGTGGTGTGAGTAGTTAGAGTGTCAGTTTATCTATATGCAGACAACCCTGAATTCTTTTTAATTTTTTGGCATAGATGTTTTGTTGTTAAACTGTCTTGTGTGTATACTGAAACTATGAAAGATTCAAAGGTGAGAACAGCTGAAGGATTCTGCAACTACCTCCTTGTCAGCCAATGAAGGGGAAATTTTGTTGGCTCAGATGGGATCCTGCTCCTGGATCCATGTCTCTGGGAAAATCCCTTATTTTCCAGCCTTTTATTTGTCAGTTATCTGCTTGTGAATCAATCTCCCAAGTGACTATTTATCTCCTCCTTTACTGGGAATCACACCCTCTTATTGCTGGGAAGAGGCCTGTTTGGACAGTTGAGTAAATAGTCCGCAGCTATAGTATTTCTTCAGACTTCAAAAATCAAAATTTGCTAAAAAAATTTTAAAAATATATATTAAGGTGTTTTAGGAACATAGGACTGGAAGGGATCTCCTGGATCATCGAATTCAGTGCCATCCATTCAAAGACAATCAGTTATACCGATTCCTATAGTCTAGAATCTCCAGCCTATCACACACACTACAGCCACAAATTACTGTATTAAAACAAAATTCAGAACACTTGGTAAAGTGCCACAAATAACAAGCAGGGGAGATAAGAGTGCTGCCAATTCCCCTCCCACTGTCAGATAAGTTATTGGTTAATTTGCTGAAACAATAATAGGACTAAGACAATGCCCACCACTGCAGAAGAAAGCAGCCCCTTACCTCTGTTCCTTCCCAGTCCTTCTGTGTCTAACTTGGGAGAAAATGTCCTGCTTGTTACCAAATTAGATGGTCAATTTGACCCTGACCAGAAAAGCAAGACCCTCCAGCAAGGGAAATATCTAAGCACCAGCAGGCCAGAAGTTATCATCAAGATGAGCTTTCTGGCTTCTGACCCATTTGGGTATGTTCAGGTCTCATTTTCATGAAAGCTGTGAGAACACAATTGTGTAACATTGTGAGAATTGGCAAGATTGTAACTGCCTTTGAGAAATACCTGTACCTCCAGAAATCAGGATTTTCAGAATTCTCTGGTTATAGGGCCATCAAACTACCACACAAGCGGATACAGCTGGGCTTTAACCTTTAGGCTGGATGCAAACAGTCAAAAAGCCTGAGGCCGAATCGATGCAGTCTTTGCAGGTTAGTCTAAACTGCACAGATTAAATTGAAACAGAAGTGAACAGACATTTACCTTTGATTCAGGAAATGCAGCCACAAGCCTGAAATGACTCAGGGTAGAAGCTGGGGGGCTAGAGCATGGCTCTCTGGTTATGTGTTCACTTCCTTTTCCTGCTGCTCTCCAAGGTTTCTGGGATTTGCAGTCCAGAGCCACAGCAGTAGGACTCTGCAGGGTTGCTTATCACTTCTTCTTCCTGCTTCCATGTGCCCCTGGGATTTGTAGTTCGCAGTCACAACCAACAATAAAGTTTAAGTGGGGGAAGGGGTGTTTAACACCCCTCCCAGGCTCCAGACCCCAGCCGTGGTTTGCCAGGAGGAGGAGGGAGGGCAACTATCGCACTCCTGTAGATTGGGCTGCATCTCCAGCTGAGCTTGTCCCCCCCACCATCTTGTCAGTCAGCCCTCACTGCTCCAGCCAGAGAGCAGAGAGGTGGGGCCAGCCCTGCTCTCTGGAGCAGACGGTATTGTCCAGTCCAGGGCTGGAAAGCATGCTGGTATTGTGGGGAACTCTGATTTAACCTGTTCTGTTACAGATTTAAACCAGCTTCTAATCACTTGAAACGATTTATGTGCAACTTCTTTCCC